GAGCTGAGTCGATCTAGCTATGTATGTCCGTCCGTCCGTCTGTCCATGTTAATTTGTAATCACGCTACATATCGCAATTATGGCCCGATCTTTACGAAATTTTGCACGAAGGTGGGGCTAGGGTCAGAATAGAATCCTATTTCTTTTGGAGATGATCGCCGAATGTTTAGGGGTTGAAATGGACCAAATACTGAAAAAATGTCGGATTTTGCGGTAGCTATGCAGGTTGCAATTATAGACCAATCGACGCGGAATTTCGCATGTAGCTAGAGTTTACAGCTAACAAAACTAAGTAGTTAGGATATCAGGATATCATATACAGATCGCATTTATGGCCCGATCCTTACGAAATTTTGAATGGGGATAAGATGAGGGTCAGAATAGATTCCTTCTCTTTTTGGAGATGATCGTTATATATTTAGGGGTTGAAATGGACCAAAAAACTGCAAAATTGTCAGCAGGTCGTAATTATCGTCCGATCCTCACGCACATTTGAATGGGGGTTACCGCACATTGCAAAAGCCAAGCAGTTTTGGGTGGCCATCCACAAATATTCAATGTGTGAAATAGTTTACCAACTTTTGTAGACTAAATACGAAAATGTCCATTCCAGCGACTTTTTGGAGAATTCACAAATGCAGGAAAGACGCTCTTCTGACTATTTTGTTAACGCTGATTTCGTTGAAGAATATAGTCAAATGTCTGTATCTCATATAGATGCGTTTCAGTCAAAAACCAATAATAAATGTTAATCTTTTGCCACTTCTGAGAGATTATTGGTCTTTGGGAAATATTGGTTCCAGATCTAGGGAGACCATTAACGTGCAACATCTACCAATAAATTGGAAATGAGCAAATTCCTTTAAGTTGCTATTATTCGAAAATTAGTGAACGAAACCTGATGGTTTTCTTTTATTATTTGTCACAATATCTTGTGGAATTCTTTCGAGTATCTCGCCTATATAAACTGTATGGTTTATTATAGTGTTGTAGGGTATTCAACGGTCGGCCCCGTTCGACTGTAGCCTTTGCTTACTTGTTTATATTTTACATTACCTTTTCTGTCCATCTTAAGGCAGTAAGCAACTACTTAACATGGTATTCTCCGAATATTCCGTTACTTAATTTGCATTTTTGTTAACAGATTAAAGAACGTCAACTACGCGGATATAATCATGCCAACGATACTGTGTTGACGTTATTTAATTTGTTGACTTTCATAGTTATTTATGTTTCGAAAGCAGATAATCCACACCAAAAGTTGTCTTCGCAATTTGTCGATTGTGGTAATATACTTGTGCGTTTTCTGCAATTCTTTTGACGTTAAATGCTCATCCGAAATTCATGTGCTTGCTGTATTCACAAGCCTGAGTAATTGCTCGAAAGCAAATATATAGTATGTTGTGACTTGAAATCATATAAAGAAACTGTGAAAGGTTAATGTTTAAATGATGATGACATGGTAAGGAAGAAAATGTCCTTGAATCTGTGAAAAAAAAGTAATAAATGAAATTTAATGCCCACCACTATTTGGAAAGTAATATTTATGGAAATATGCCTATAAGTATAAAGCCCCAGTATCCATGTAGTTCATTTAATATATGTTGTTAAAAAAAATTAACTTAAAGAAAAAAAAAAACAAGTAAGCAAAGGCTATAGTCGTGCGGGACCGACAATGTGATACCCTACAACACCATAATATATTGCACAACCTCCTTAAGTCCAAACATATTTTAGTCGATTATTTGAAATAATGCTATGCTGCCATGCACATATGTTGCCTTTGGTTTTTAACCGACGCTATTTTCCTTATATTTATACTTTATGTCGTGCTGATAGGTATCCAAAACCGTTATATGGAGGCTATATGAAAACGTGGACCTACATGGACCATTTACGAACTTAACCTGCCTACTGGCCAAATAAACATGTGTGCAAAATTTTAGCCTTCTCAATTCGTTCGAAAGATAGCGTGATTACAACAGACAGACACACAGACAGACAGACGGACATGGCTAAATCGTCTTAGAATTTTACACTGATCAAGAATATATGTACTTTGTTGGGTCTGAGATCATTATTTCGATGAGTTACAAACGGAATGACAAAATGAATATACCCTCCATAGTATGGTGGAGGGTATAAAAAATCGCATTCGATAAAAAATATGACAAAAATATAAAACATATTCACTTTTTATTAGCATATTTTCACGCGATTGTCTTATGTTTTATCCTTTTTTGGCAAGAAGACATTCTGAATTTGTGAGAATTGTCGGAATCCGTCCAGCCGTTATTGAATTATATGCGGTCTAACTTACATATGAGATTGTAGATATTTTGCTGTATTGCAATATCTTGGATATAAGCATCAATGATTTTGGCAGAATTAAAAATATTCGCGGTTTAGTGCAAATTTTCTTATTTTTACATAAAGTTATGGCCTTTTTTCCGCTAAATATTGTCCGATGACCAAACAAAATGGTAGGCTTCTGACCAGCCTAAACTCTAGCCCCATGCTAAATTCCGCGTCGATTGATCTATAATTGCGACCTGTAGGGCAACTGCAAAATCAGGAAATTTTTCTGTTTTTGGTCCATTTCAACCCCTTAATATTATGCGACCCTATTCTAAAACAACAGGGTTCTATTCTGACCATAACCCCATCTCCATGCTAAATTTCGTGAAGATCGGACCATAATTGCGACATGTAGAGTGATTACTAATTAACATGGACAGACGGACATACATAGCTAGATCGACTCAGTTTGGCGAGGTAGGAAGATCCATATATACTTTCTTATGAGGGAAACCAATATTTCGAGGCGTTACATAATTTTTAGCCCAATCAAACTTATAATACCCCCAACACATAGCGTTGTAGGGTATAAACAGTAGGCAAAGGTCAAAAATCGGGCAGGACCGACTATATGATACCCAACACCACTATGCGTATTTAGTAGAGCTCATGTAACAAAAAGTTTATATTGGGTATTTATGTGAAGTAGATCATACAATGCTATATAGCGCATGATATGACTTGGTTAGGGATTATATTAGGCAAGTAAACAAATATTAAGTTCGGCCGGGCCAAACTTTTAATACCCTCCACCTTAGGGCAAAGGAAACATTTTTACATAAAAGTATCTGAATTCAAACGTATTTCACTTTATATACCTGTAAGACCTTTTGCACAATGCAAAACAAAAAGTGAGGCCATTATATGGGGCCATACCAAAACGGGGACCTCTATAGACAATTTTATACTTAAAGGATTGTCATCTATCAAATCTTCTAAAATACGAAATTTGAAACAATTATGTGGTTAAATTTGACTAGGATTATCAAAATACCAACTATCAGTGGGTATATAGGAAAACGTGGAACTACATATTCAATATCCTGCCACCGGACTAGAAACCATTATGAACTAAAAATACCAACTTTTATCAAAATATCGAATATCAGGCGGAACCATTATATGGAGGCTATACCGAAATGTAGACCTATACATACAATGTTTTGGCACCGGAGCCAGAACCCATCATGGCCAACAAATTAAAATTTTTAGACAAATTTGTGAAAAAATGTGGCAAAACTCATCAAAATACCGAATATCGGGAGGTAACCTTGTATGGGGGCTATACCAAAACGTGGACCTATACATACAATGTTTTGCCACACGAGCTAAAACCTATTATAACCTACAAATATTTTTAGACAAATCCGTGAAAAAATGTTCCAAAAATCAACTCCAAATGACTTGGATTTTTGTCACATCCAACCGAATTCAGTTTAGAAGCAAGTGCATCGAATTCGAAGAAAATCGGTTCAGATATAGCTATACCTATGTTTTATCCGATTTGGTATTTATGTCCTCCACATTCGTAATATGCATTCGACAACAATGATATTTGGTACCAGATATATTATAGAGCTCAGAAATACCTTTGCCAAATTTTATCGAGAACGGCTACGATTTGTATATATCTCTACGATTTGTATATATATATATATATCCTTGATCCGATTTAAGGTTTATTGTGCAAATAATAGCTAATATCAGACCAAATGGAATGAATTTCGGGACGTACGTTTCGATTCCTCTGAAACCAAACTATAACTGCTCTAAAGCAAAATGTTGATAGGTTGTATGATCTACTTCAAATAAATTCTTTCGTTACGGAAGATATTTAGTAGATCCATAGTGGTATAAGGCATCATATAATCGGTCCGCCCGACTTTAGACTTTTTCTTACTGGTTAAAATATCACTCTTTGTTTTCCAACAAAATGTGGTACACGGCTGCGAGTAGAAATCATCCTTGCAGACCAAATTTGTTCAAGTACAGATGTAAGTCCGATAAAAAACCAAAATTATTTACGGCTTGGAAGATTTTAGCCTAACGAAATGATCCTTTGGGGCTCCATAACCGCGAAGGTGTAAGTGATGGGGAAAAAACGGCGGTTTCATCACACTGCCCTGTCAGAATGTGTTTTTGGCCTAAGCGGATGGACCCTTTAAGGCGCAGTCGCTGTGAACATTTACATTAAATAATCTTCAAACATTAATTATAAGGAGCGTAGTATCAGTTCAAATAAAGATTCCATGCCTTTTTAAAATATGCAAATTTTCAAGAAATTCGAAACCCCTATGCTTTCTATTAGGAAATTAGTTTTCTTGGAAAATGTATAATAGTAAAAATATTTGTTATTCCTGGGATCCAATTCAATGCCGCTATGTTTCAAGGGTTGTTATTTTAATACTAATTGTGCGACAGGTGTTCTTCGCTAGTCGAGCGGAAGAAAATTAACCTATAGAATTCAACAACTAATGGTTACTATGCAACAGCGTTCACCATACTAGCCCAGGCATTTTTGTTATTTTTGAAAACAACCTTTAAACGAAAACACTTAAGTTTCAAATAAAAGAAGTAAAATATTCAATTCATAGAGTTTGCTTTTCATTTTATTTAATTTAAAATTGAACGACTGTCAAATAAAGAGAAAAAAATTATTAACATAAAAACATTTTTTTCTTCATTTCTCCATAAATCAATAACCACAACAAATCGTTCAAAGAGAAGCTCCCCATAAAGAAAAACATATCCTTGTAGCAATCGACCGCATACCCGGGGATTTTGCACAAAAAACCCTGTGGCATTCATCAAAGAAGACAGCATGAAGAAAATACAGCCAGAACACAGACCATTTTGTAAACCACATCGACGACAAAAAATAATCAATCGCCCAAACCATGATTCTTTTTGCCAAGGCGAAGGAAAAGGACTCGTTGCGGCACAACTGAAACCGCGACCACTGGTCGATTGCCAATTCTACAATTTAAAATATGAATTCGATGAGCTGCCGCTGGATCCGGTTAAAGAGTTTATTGTTGAGAAAACTTGTACGTAATTAAAATTCGCTGGTCTCGATTGACTTCGCATTGTGTGTTAATATTTGCATTCTTTTAGCTCACATGCAGTCGGATGTTATAACGGGACGTTGCAACAAAGAGCTGGACTTTCATCGATATGAAATGGACAAGGTAAACACTGGCAATAGAGAGATTGACGATGATGGCCTTGATGACATCGAGTTGGACAATATAGTGATGCCAGAGAAATTTGAAATGCTTCGTGAGAAGAAGGATAACTTCTATGGATTTAGTCGTAAGTATATTTATGTTCTGACCACAACGGTCTATTTATGGTTTTTGCAAAATAGATGATAAGAAATCAATATTGATATTGAAAATTTGGGTCGTCTTTTACCTAATTTTAGTCTCTTGTTCAAAATTAGATAGTCAAAATGTTGCCTCTGACACAAAGTCGAATTGAAAGATTAGGATTATCGGACTTAGGTATAACTTTAAGGCGACTTTTGATTTTTATACCCTCCACCATAGTATGGTGGGAACATTAAGTTCTTCATTCCGTTTGTAACACCACGAAATATACATTTAGACCATGTAAAGTATATATATTCTTGATCAGCATAAAATTATATGTCGATTTGTCTGTCCATGTATTCTTGTGAACAAAATGCAGGTCGCATTTATTATCCGATTGAGATGAAATTTTCCAAACAAAATTTGTTTGGCCCAAGGACGAACCCTATTGAAATTAGAGATAATCGGTAAAAATTTAGATATAGCTCACATACATACGAATTGAGTCTAGCAGGTAGTATGCCAAATTTGGTGAAGATCGGTTCAGATATAGCTATAGCTCCCATATATATTGTTCATCCGATTTGTTATTTTTGTCCTCCGCAGCTGTAAAATGCACTCCGTAACAACAATATTCAGGGAAATATATCAAATGCTGCTCAGAAATACATTTGCTAAATTTTATCGAGATCGGTTCAGATTTGTATATATCTCCCATATATAACTTCGTCCAATTTACCTTTATTGAGCACCAAACGTCTAATATTTGCCCAAATCGTATGAAATTTGGCACTTACGACCGAATTAAGTCTAGAAATTTGGGGAAGATCGATTCAGATATAGCTATAGCTGTTCATCCACGATATTCAGGGAAATATATCAAATAAAGCTCAGAAATATCTTTGACAAATTTTATCGAGATCGGTTCCGATTTGGATATAGCTCCCATATATATTTTGATCCGATTTCAAATTAATTATGCACCAAATGGGCAATACAAGTTCGAATTTAAAAGATACAAATGCTTCGGCATATTTAGTCCTTTCAACTTTAAATTATAATTATAATCATAGCGTGTATGATTGAATTCTCCCATAAAAACTTTTAATTGTTATGTGGAGCTCTACTAGATTAGCAAAGTGGTGCAGGGTATCATAAAGTCGGCCCCGCCCAATATAACTGGTATCCTGAAAATTGGAAATAGGATTTCTGTCGGAGTGTAGGATTGGGGTATGTAGGAAGCTTTGGAAATTCGTACTTATGTGTACTAAACTAAATTTGGTACAAATTGGAATTGTGATGAAGCGATTGAGCTGGTATTCTGAAATTGCTGTTCATGTGTAGCCCGGACATATGAATGTGTACTTTAATTGTTTAAAAGTACAATTTAAATTTTTATTTTTTTATTAATTGTACGAAAAGTGCAAGCATTGTATTACATTGGTATTCAATAATTTGATATTTAGATTAATGATTGTATTTGTGTTTGAAATTTGGTGGTGGCTTGGAAATTAGTCCTAAATCTGTACGAAAAATACTAAATTGTACCAAATCTGGTATTCGGTGAAGGAATAGGCCTGGAACCTCAACATTTGATATTGAAGTCTTTGCTGGTATCTGGGATATGGAGGTGGTTGTGGAAATATGTATTATAATTATACGAAAAATATTAAATTGTACTTAATTTGGTATAGTGTGAAGAAATAGAGCAAAAATTCTGAAATTTGATATAGATGCCACAATTGTGGTCTGTGTTTTAAATACGGATGTGGGTTTGGAAATACATATTATAGTTGTTAGAAAGATTTAACTAAATTTGTTAAAGGGAAAGTTAAAGAGCTTAAATCCTGAATATTGAAATGAAGTCACTGTTGGTGTCGGTGGTTGAGAGGGATTGAGATATGTAGGTGGTTTTGGAAATGTGTACTAAAATTATACCAAAAGTACTAAATGTTACTAAATTTTGGCATTGAGTGAATGTATAGAGCTGGAATTCAAAAATTTGATATTGACTTCTTTCGTGGTTTTTGAAGAGCTTTAAAATGTCTAGGTTGACTTATGTTTAGTATGGACTAGCTGGCCCGGTCCGCGTTGCCGGCCCGTAGTTTTAATCTTTAATGCAAATTTTGCATAGCATAATATTTCACAAATCTAGCTCATAAAGGTGAACAAATTTTAATATAAATATTGATTCGACTAAATAGAAATAAATAACTATGGAAGGAGGGCAAAATAATTTCTAAATAGTCAAAGTTAATTACGCTTTTACACCCATTACCATAACACCTCAAATTGCGCATTAGAGTCCCCAAAAAGTCTATGTTCTTGTTCATGGTAAAATTCAATAACGATTAAACAATACCCGCGTTGTTATCCGCCAATCGGTAAACATCACTATAGATCGGCGGGCCTGGGGACTATATGGTGACTGTACCAAAATATTTACGTATGTTGACATTTTTCTGTAAGATGGTTCTCTACTCACAAAGTAGCCTAAATACAGCAAATAATGGCAAAATCAGTTGAAAAACGTGGCCAAGACCACGGTCACAGCTGTCAGGCCAGGGATACATTTATATAAGGGTTATACCAAAACGTGGCCCAACCAATATTCTCTTGGGGGTTACAAATTCAATAGAAAACAACATTTTTCTGATTGTACATTGGACGGATTATTGTGACAGGAAAGAAGTAGTTCCACGCTTTGAAATGATCCCCATTAGGCTTTTTCGGCAATTTTTGTTTGTTCAAATGTGTTCGCATCTTCCAGCTGAACCACGATGTCGGCCCTGGAGTTGAAAGGTAGATGTCAGTTGACATCGCATTTCCTACTTATTTCATTTTTTGGTGAAAATTTGTATATAGTGAAAAATTATTCTTTATTTTGTTCGCAAAAAAATTACTGAATTCAATTAGATAATACAAATTGAAAAAAAAAAAATTGACAAAAGAAGAATAACACATTGAAAAAATCTTCAACTTGTTCGCTGATTTTTTTACAGCAAATGTTTAAAGATCCTTATATAGTTTGTCAATAGAATGTACTTCTATTTTAAAATTCGATTCCATTAAATTATTTCGACATCATCTATTCCGTTTCGCCACCACATAATTCGGTACTACGCTTCCATGTAACTCGCCATCAATTTCATTTCTCAAGAAATCAAGTCAATTAAATAAATTGGTATTAATATTTGAATTCAAAAAAAAAAATATATATATATAAAAAACACTACAAATGTACATTAGAAAAAAATAAGTAAAAATGGAAAAAAATCATGCAAAATAAAACATTACTATTGTACATTTCAAAAGTCAAAATGAAAATGTTAAAATATCACATTTTTACGCGATTTTTTGGATATTATCCTTTTCGGAGAGGAGAAAATTCCGAATTTGTTTGAATCGTTAAAAGCAGTCCAGCGGTTCTTAAGTTATAAGCGTAGTAACTAACACAACTTTCTTTTATATATATAGATATATCGGCCTCCTTCTGAGTATTTTTTTTTTTTCAATCAAATTGAGATATCCGACTTCATTTTGCGGCATATATTTATTTTGTTATGGACATTAAATGGATCTGTCACAATACTCTTATAACTGAATAATATACAATCAAATTTGCTCTATCTCTCGTCAGATAGTTTAATATCTAGTATACCACCATTGTAATTTAAGTTTATATCTTTTTATATATCTATTTTCAGCATGCGACGACCCATATCCATGGTTATGTGAATTAAGTGGTAAGTAAAAATATTAAAAAAAAAACAAAAGTATGTCGGAGCCGACTATATGACACCCCTCCGCTCTATGCATATTTTGTAGAGCTACCTGTAACAAATAAATTTTTATATTTTGAATTTATGTGAAGGAAATCATGCCAATGTTAAATGAATTAGGGCTTAAATGTGGTTTGAATTTTAAACAGAATGGATTTAACATATCGATTTAAATCTAACCAACAAATAGTGGTAATTTGTTTAACTGGTCTTTAAATGTGAATTTTTATATAAAATATTGAATTTTTGATCCCTTATAATAACATTATTTTTTAATTTCATTTTCTATATCTACAGGCTCGCCTACCGAAGAAAAAGTATTGGAAATAACCAACAGTCTATTGAACATCTACTGTTCTCATAGGGTACGAATTTTTTACTTTGATTGCCGTACAAAATCGGCATTGTTAACAAACGAATTGAGAAGGTTTTATGGAAGTCCTTCCGAAATAATAGGTAATAAAAAATCCCATAAATGCATTTTAAATAAATTTCTTTTGCATAGTTTTGCATAGTCTATGAAATATCCATAGAAAAAATACTCTTTTTCGTATGTTGATTACAATGCTTTAAAATATTGGTTTTAAATCCAGAATTTTTGAAAATTTCTTAGAAAGTCCAAGCTCTGGTCTATTAAGCACTAGTATGACTTAAAAATGAGAATAAAATAATTCTCAGATTTCTATTATGCCAATGTTTAATATTCTATGAACATTTTTGTTCAGTATGGCAACATCATTATAATTTATCTGTGTATGATAAAAAATTAACGATCTTTAATATCAATATGAAAACAAAAACTCTGCAAACGACATACTGTTAAAAACGTATTTACGCATAAAAAAAAGAAAATATGCATTTTATCGAACCAAGTCGAAGTATTTTACCAGCACTGACAAATGAATACCATATTACAGGAAGTTTACGCAATCCGAGTGCCAGATATTTACGCTTGCCTGCATTAAAGTCGCCACCGAAATCTATTAAATTTAAAGCGGGGGATCATTACGCGCTAAGAACACCACAAGGTAGGTACAATTTTAAAAACAACAATTTTGTTTCAGTTCACACAAAGAATTCTTCAAAATCTTTTAGAGTGTCGAAATGAATTGGCTAAAATGGGCAAAGTTATTGATGTTCTCATAGAGCCAACACTAAGACGAGCCCAAGACAATCTAAAACGACATGCTTCGCTGCCGGAAAGTGATAAATGGGCAAAAATAAAAGAAAAAGTGCCAAATAAAATTAAAATTAAGAAAATTGTAAGTGTTGCATAATTTGTTTTTATCATAATTAATATTTTATTTCCAAATTTGCAGTTAAAAGGTGGAGTCAGAGAAAATAACAAACCTCCAAAACGAGAAAATTTTAAATCAAATCTTGATTTTTTACTCCATCTCAAAAATATTGATAAGCAGTATGTTATCTATGATCTACAATCTTAAAAATATAAATTAATAAGACACAATTTATATTTTTTCCTAGAAAATTCAAATATTTAGAAGGATATATGCCTGTAGATCCGGAAGAACAAAAGTCACGCATTATGAAAACTTACGAAGTGAAATTGAAAAAAGCTGAAAAACAGTTCACGCCAAGAATGGAAAGACGTTACAAGTGTCTTATGAAACATGTAAGTTATCAAATTGTATTTAAGTGCTTTACACTGAAACCCGTTCCCTGAGCTCATGTCAAATACGCCATGTCCACTGCAGTGAACATACAAGCCCCTCTATGGTGCCCTGGGTTTCCGTCTAATTTGTATACCCTTAACAGTACGTAGTATTAACTCAGTAACTCATCAAAATATTCATTTAAGACCCAACACACTATATGTGTTCTTGATCAGCGTAGGATTTTGAGTTGACTTTGCTCTTTGCATATTACGAATGTGAGGGACTTAAACACCAAATTGGATGATACATATTTATGGGAGCTGTACCTATATCTCAACCAATTTTCACAAAATTTGAAGTGCATGCTTCTAGACTGAATTTGGTCGGAAGTATCAAGATTCACTCCATTTTGGACCGATTTTCACCAAACAAGTGTTGTTTTTTGAAAATTTAATCCCAAACGGATAATAAATATGACCTGCATTTTGTTCACATTATTATAAGGACAGGCGAACAGACAGACGGACTGACATGCATAAATCCTCAAATCCTCCTGAGGATCCTCAAAAGTAAATATGTATCTATATCGTGTCCTTGTCCATGTTACAAACAAATACACAAAGACAATACCTTGAGCACTATGTGGTATATATTTATTTTTAATTTGATAATGGGTATTATTTTCAACGAAAGAACATTACCTGTACAGATACATTCCTTCGTACAGCCACCATATAACTGTATCTCCCTATATTCGGTCTTTTGATGATTTTAACTAATTTTTTTCAACGGAATACCCTCCACCATAAATAGTATGGAGGGTATATTATCGTATATTACAGTCAAAACGAATTAAGATAGAAAGCTAAAACTTTGCAAAGATCTCCCTTTTGTCTGCAGGCAGGTTAAGTTCGAAGATGGGCTATATCGGTCCACAATATCGTATAGCCCCCATATTCGGTATTTTGATGATTTTAGCCACATTTTCCAATCAAAATCCACACGAGATGTTCGTTGTGAGCACTTTACTCCCTGAAAGAGAGTTTTCTATATGGGCCCACGATATCGCATAGCCCCCATATAACGGTACCTTCCGATATTCGTTATTTTGATGATTTTAGTTACATTTTTCAACGGAATTGTCTGAAATTGTACACAAGAGGTTCACGATATCGTATATCCCACCATATATCGGCACCTTCCGGTGTTAGGTATCTTAAGGATTTTAACAGAATTTTTAATGGGTTTTATTTATTTATTTATTATTATTTTTTTTTTTTTGAAAATGTCTTAATTCGTTCCAAATGGTGGAGGGTATTCAAAGTTCGGCCCGGCCGAACATACATCTTTTTCACTTATTTTATTTTACTTTTGCAAGTTCCTTCCGATTGATGGATGACATTAAAAGTTCCGCCCATCTGCTTCTGCTTTATTACTTGTTTAGTATTCGAAAGATTTCAGCTACAATTTTCAACCGAATTGCTTGGCTCTAATATGCTATTTTGGGTTCTTAGTAGATGATAATTATCGCTACTTAAAATTCAATATTTGTTATTTACTTTTTTTAGATTTTTGTTTCGATCCTTCTAATTCTCCGCCATAACAGAATTTCTAATTCTCTCCTTATTCCTAATTTCTTTGAAATAATTATCACTTTGGTGTATTTTCCAGCTTTGAAAAAAAAACTGAACTCCAATGTAATCACTCTTTTGAATCCAAGTACATTCTCTGTATGTCACATTTCTTATCATTCCTTGGCTCTTAATTAAATTTACATACACTATTTGAAGCAGTTTTTTAGATTAGTTACTTTTTCCTAGTTACCGAACAAACAATATATGTCCCACAAGCACAGCTAATGAAAAATGCAATCTACAGTTTTTGTTAAAATACTCCATAGTTGAAACATTTCTAAGTGAGAAGATATTCTTGAGTATTTTAGTGAATATCACATCCGTTTCATTTCGTTAATGAAAGTGCCCTCTGTGTCTTCCTTCATTAGTAGTTCGCAGACAAAGGTTTCAAAGAATCGAAAGATTCCACTCAAACAATCCAGCGATAAGTTCACTTTACTAAATGAATTTCAACGAAATTAAAGACATTACAGAGAAAAGGCAGTGCGGATTTTTATATAAGTTTAAATTTTACTTTACACATTACTGGTGAATTTCACAAAAACCAACTCTCCCCACTAAGGCTGTTGCATCGGTCATGGAACCTGGCAGGCCGTCACTCTTCTATTCATTCTTCTTCTTCAGTCACACTGCCAATAAAACTAAAGGCATGGCAATTCATTTTGACTTCTGACCACAATGCAGCCAGCATTGAATGCAAACGACGGCATCTAACTAATTATTAACAGAGATGAATTAATTTGGTCAAAAAGTCCAACATACATTCAGCTAATTAACAAACGCCATACAAAATACTCTATGGACTTTTACCAAGTAAACAATGGCGACCCGCTGACGGTTCCTATATGTGAACATGTCCTTCTCCCTCCTGTTCAACGTGAGAGATGAGTTTATTTGTTTAAACATTCTAAAATAATATTCATTAAACTACTGCCTTGAGGTATTTAAAACTGCCGGGTGGGTAGGCTAGAAACATTCCAGTGAAACTTTCTATACATAGGCACATCATACCTACTTATGCAACTATGAGTGGAATAAACCATTCATTCTGCCCGTTAACTCTGTGTGTATGTATGTGTCCATAGACATGTCTGTTCAAAGCACCTTTAAGGGTTATTGTCTCGAAATATTCCACGCATAGTATAGGTAGGATATAGATTTCCCTAATGTATCGTTATAGTTCAGTACACATCGTTAACCTTTGGATATGTTGCTATTAAAGTCGTGCTCGAGTCGAACGTCGTCATTCAATTTGTAACTCCTCGAAATAATCATGTCAGACCCACAAAGTATATATATTCTACATCAGCATAAAATTCTAAGTCGATTTAACAGCAGGCGGGTTAAGTACGAAAATGTGTCATCTCGGTCCACGTTTTCGTATAGACTCCATATAACGGTACCTTCCTTCTATTCCTTCTATTCGGTATTTTCAAAATTTATTCACCGAAATTGTTTTAAATTTCGTATTCCAAGTACATAATGGGTACTGCAGCCTATGACTTATGCAGGTCTTGGTATAACCCCCATATAACGATTCTCATTTAAGCAGTAATTTTTGGGATATTTTGAAAATATACAAGTCCTTCCAAATGGTGGAGGTTTTGTTTTCCAATGGAGTAAAACTCTATTGCACTGTTCAGATATAGCTCCAAATGCGTAATACCTTCCCCAATAGCATATGAAATTCAATGAAAATCAGCATAGCTCTCATATACATATTTCACCCTATTTTATAGTCCTCCAAAGCCGTAATAACACTGATTTTCCGTACAACATGTAAGATATAGTGTGCAAATACTTTTGCCCAACTTTTGTCGGAATTGTCTCAAAGATGGGAAGCTTAAGTTTAAACAGCGCATTTATTTCTCTACAATCTAAGATTAAGTTCGAAGATGGACTATATCGGTCCATCCCTAACAAAGAAATGCTTTTATGCCGGTCCTGTCGGGATTTTAGACCAAAAAATAATGTTATTTCCCAAGAGTTCATTATGTCAAACTGCCTGATTCTTGCGATGATAGAATGGAGGTTATATCAAGTTCGTCATTCGGTTTGTAACTCATCGAAATAATAATTTTAGACCTAATAATATACAGGGTGTGATGAAAAAACTGCCAACTGAACCAAATTCAGACTGCTGTCATTTCTAAGCCACTCGTCCGATAGCTCTTAAAATTATTCCAGTGACATCTCATTATATTGTTTACAAGCGTACAAAAGCATTTTAGTGAGAATTTTGCAGAAAAAATTTATTCGTGATGGAATTCAAGCGTGAGAGTGTGATTTCTTAATATTTGGCTGGAAAACCACAAGTGGCTATGGTTAGAGCACTCCAGCATTTAAATGTGAATAAATCTTTTGTGTCTCGTACCATCTCTCGTTACCATGATCCTGGTAGCGTAGCCCGATGTCAAGGAAGTGGACGGAAGAAAACTGCAACATCAGCAGAAATGGTTCGAAAAGTAACGAAGCGTCTTGATCGAAACCCGCGTCTCAGTGGCCGAAAAATGGCTCGTGAGCTGAACATATCGCAACACTCCATTTGGCAAATATTAAAAAATGATCTCGGAGTAAAGCCATTGAAATTCCAAAAACTGCAAGAACTTACACCGCAACAGAAAGAAAATAGACTCAAAAGAGCTAAAGAGTTGCTTCGCTTGGCCGAAAGTGGTGAACTGCCGAATTTGGTTTTCTCCAATGGGAAAACATTCGTTGTCCAGCAGTTTGTAAACAAACAAAATGATCGTGTTTACTTGCCAAAGAGGTCAGCTGAAAATATGCATCTTCGGTTGGCTACCAGGCTACCAATCCGTTGGATTATTGTGTATGGAGTATTTTGGAAAGCAAGGTTGGCACTAAAAAATACCAAAGTGTTGAGCACCTCAAGCAAGCGCTTCGCCGGGAATGGGCCAAAATACCCCAGAGCAACAGTCGGGCAGTGTGTGACGGTTTCATTGGCTGTTGTAGGCCAAAGGTGACCAATTCGAACAAATCTAAATTTATTCTAAAATTTGGTAATAGCATCAAATTGTTGTGACATTGTTTGCCTTTATTCAATAAAATTAAAAAGCAAAATGTTAAAATTATGGATTTTGACTTTGTTTTTTTTATACCCTACAACACAATGTGTTGGGGGTATTATAAGTTTGATTGGGCCAGAATTTATGTAACACCTCGAAATATTGGTTTCCCATATAGGAAAGTATATATGGATCTTCCTAGCTCGCCGAGCTGAGTCAATCTAGCTATGTATGTCCGTCCGTCCGTCTGTCCGTCTGTCCATGTTAATTTGTAATCACTCTACAGGTCGCAATTATGGCCCGATCTTCACGAAATTTAGAATGTAGGTGGGGTTGAGGTCAGAATAGAACCCTATTTCT